AAAATATGTTGTGTTCATTTATGTGAATAGAAAAAACGTCATTGGTTTGAGAAGTTCATGGAAATCTGTGAAATGTGCTCATCATTAGGAGAAAAAGTTTGTTAAAATGCATAAGGTATTGGCGGTTTGTGAATAGATTATGTATGAGAGTTGAATGCATAATAGATTCTCTCTTTTATAAATTTTTTCTATAGTGGAAGTATGTTCTCATGCTTGAATAGAGAGTTGGGGTTCTAAGGTATATTTCAAATCGGGCCTTTGAATTGCATGACTCCGGGCCGTGTGGAGAGTTGACAATCCTCCATATCGTGGTTAAGGAAATGAATCGACTCGGCCTTTGATTGATTTTTTTTCTATTCTTAAGTGCGTAAGTTACGTAATATATTGTCTACGTGCCTATTATACGTGTAATGTTTGATTTGTGTTTGTTCTCTTTTTCATTTTGTTTCGGGTTCTTGGTGGTGTTTTTTTGGGTTTACTTTAGTTGGAGAAGTGTAATATCTTTAGAGCTTGTTTTCCCCCATTTAATCAAAAAAACCAAAAAAATAAGAAAATACATAAAAACCAAAAATATTTACTTTTCATTCAACCCCCCCTTTGTGTTATATAAGTATAAGTTTTATTTAATAAGTGTATATTATAAGTACTTGTTTATAAGTTATAAATATAAGTTCTTTATACTATATTTTTAGTATGTGTTTTATGTTTATAGTTATATTATAGTTCTTCGTTTATAAGTTAAATTTATAAGTTTTTATATTTATTTAGTTATAAGTTTATTATAAGTTTTATACGTCTTATTATATGTGTAGTAGTTTTTTTGTGACAATGTGTTTGCATGCTATTTTGATTTCAAAAGTACAAATATTCTCCGTGGGATCGACCCTTACTTGCCCAAGCTATAGTTTTTATTTGATTATATATTGGGGGTTAGTTAAGGATATTTTATAAATTTTTAATTTAGTTTGGACCTTACGACAAGTCCCCAACACTTATCGTTGTCAGTACAACGATGTATTGATTTCTAATGCTGAGAGCAATGCTATCCTTTTGTGAGAAGCTACTAGAACCAAACTATCTTCCTTTTGCTACTACTAAAATTGCAAACCTATCTCACTGTTGTGCGTATGACACCATGTCAATACTTCTTAATATTTGTGTTGCTAATCTCAACCTACCTTATGGTTGTTCTAAACGAGCTATTTTGTGTATAACATTTACACCTAAGCCATTTTAGAAAACCACACTCTTTTGTCTCTTCTTAAAAATCAAAAGTTAACTTTTACAAAGTTAATATCACTGCTCTTGGCTCGGTTTGGACATAGAGTAAAGCTCACCACTTTGAACACCAAAAATCATCTTTTTTTAAATTTTGAAAATTAAAAATTAATAAAAATAAAATAGCAACACCGGTCAACCACCGGTCAGTGGCGTCGGATTCCGGCGACCGGCGGCAGCAGGCGGCGAATTCCGGCGACCGACGGTGGCCGGCGGCAGGCGGCGATCAAAGGTCTCGGTCAACGGTCAAAGTCTAGTCAAGACCCCTTTCTTTGATTTTATTTTTTCAAAAAAAATGCAAACTCTTGAAAAAAATATGGTGAGCTTTGTCTTACAGGTTGGTGTGTTTTGTAGTTGTCCTTGGTGAGCATTGCAGTTGGCAGTGGTAAGCTTTGCGTCCTCTGAGTGTAGCATGTCATCTTACCGTAATGTGTCATCTGACTGGAGTCAATTCCTATATATATATATATATATATATATATATATATATATATATATATATATATATATATATATATATATATATATATATATATATATATATATATATATATATATATATATATTGACATTCTAATTCTGTGATTAATAAGTCAATCAAACATTATTTCTGTATATAAAATAAAATATTATATATATATATATATATATATATATATATATATATATATATATATATATATATATATATATATATATATATATATATGGGGCAGAGTGTTGGGCGGTTAAGAAGACTCATGTGCGTCGTCTGCATGCGGCGGAGATGCAGATGTTACGATGGATGTGTGGGAAGACAAGGTTGGATAGGATTTCGAACGAAGTTATCCGACGTCAGGTAGGCATGGCGCCGGTGGAAGATAAGTTGCGGGAAGCAAGGTTGAGATGGTTTGGCCATGTGAGACGGCGGGATGCTGACGCCCCTGTACGGAGAAGCGAGAAGATTACGGTTATCGGGGGAAGTAGGGGAAGGGGTAGACCTAGGACGAATTTGAAGGAGGTGATTAGACAGAATTTAGGACTTCTCGACCTGACTGAGGATATGACCTTAGATAGGAACCTTTGGAAAACTAGGATTAGAATAGCTAGATAGGAGCTCGGTGTTGTAGAGGTTGTTTTGTGGTGTGTTGTATTTGTTAGGAATCTTCTGCTATTGCTTGTACTTGGTACTTTATCTGTGTTATACTGTGTTTTCTTCCATATTTTTGTGCAGGTGGAGCCGGGGGTCTCTTGGAAACAGCCTCCCTACTTCCGAGTAGGGGCAAGGTCTGTGTACACACCCTCCCCAGACCCCACTGTTGTGGGATTCACTTGGGTTGTTGTTGCTGTTGTATATATATATATATATATATATATATATATATATATATATATATATATATAAAGGGCCGGCCCAATAGAGGGACAAACAGTCCGTCTGGACGAGGCCCATGATTGTAAGGACCCAATTATTTTTTAACATTATATGTATGCATATAGATCCCGAGCACCTAGCCCAATATGTGAAAAGCCTATCTCTTTCGCCGCCCGATCCCTTCCTTACTTTCTAAATTACTAACGCAAACCGCAGAGGCGCAGAAGCTGGAAGAGGACGAAGCCTACTGCCGAAACCGAATCGGAAAGAGAGTGCCGACTGCTAGAACGCCGCCGGTAGAGAGACGCCGCCGGTAGAGAGACGCCGCCGCCGCTGCACCCTCCAGGTACCCGCCAGACGCCAGCCGCCGCCGGTAACGTATTCACTATCTTTCCAATTTAGTAATTATTTTCTAATTTTCTTTCTTTCATTGTTTCATTCTTTGGATTTAAAATATAGGGTTAATTATTAATTTTTAGTTTGAAATCTTTTCTAATTGCTATAAAATATGAATGAATTAATGGTTCCATATATTCTTTATTTGATTTGGATGAATTGATTTGAATTTATGATATATATATATATATATATATATATATATATATATATATATATATAAACTGAAAACTGAAAAACTAAAAAAAATTGAAAAATTGACAAATTGACATGAATTTAAGATATATATATATAAAGACTGAAAACTGAAAAAGAAAAAACTGAAAAAATGACGAATTGAATCAATTGATATGAGTTTATGATATATGAATTTCCTTGCTTGGTTTTCCATATTTGATTTTACTAAGTAGTAAAATTTATGAATTTGAATTTTATTTCAGAAATAATTCAATAGCTACAAGTCCTAAACATCTATTTGGTAGTCAAAAAAGTAAAAAGAGAAAATGAGATGAAGATTGAGAAAGTATCAAGCCGGATAAGAAACACTTTGGTCATTTATTTATTTTCTTCTAATAATATTACTTTAATTATCATTTATGTATAATTAGTTTACATATGTTAATTTGCTAGACTTTATATTTAGGGTCTTTTTTTATCTCGGCCCAAGCCGTTGAATTCTCAGGACTCGTCCTATATATATATATAATATTTATATGTTTATTTTGTCTTAATTATATATAATTAAATTTGACAAAATAAATTGATATATTTTATTAGGTGGGGACTGAAAATAAGGAGAGGAAGAAAAGAAAGAATTTGATTCTATTTCTAACTCTTTAATTAGATTAATTAATTTAATTAAGTAATAATTAATGAGACTTCTTCGCCACACAACTACCATATATACACGACACACACGCCTCTCTCCAGGTTGAAGAGAGGATCGAGAAAACCGAGAGAGCCGAAAATTTTGAGGAAAATTTTCTTGATCATTCTTAAAACATTTTCTATATTCTTGCAATATTCTAGAAAGAGATTACTAGCATATTCTCTTCTTAGAACACCATTCGTTGTTCGTGTGGACACGCTAGAGGTTAGATCCTTTGTGACTTAGTTCATCACACCAATCCCTCCACCAACACCGATATGTTTTTCTGTGAGAAAAGTATTCTTCTTTACAATAATTCATAGTTTTTGTAAGACGATCTTGGGTGGTAACGACGATTGGATATAAAAATTTTGTTTTCTGCAGTGCTATCCATGTGTGGTTACCCAACACAAAGTAACCAGACCAACCACAAAACCGAAACTGAATATCAAATAATCGAAAAATTGGTTTCGGTTACCAATTCCAAAAATATTGGTTCTTTCAGTTTATGAGTTTCAGTTTTTATCATTAGTTTTTTTAATTAACCAAAGAACCGAGACCCATATTCTAATAAATTAATATGGTTCATTTTAAGTCCATTTAACATGCAATCCGTCCGTTTAAGAAGAAAAAACGATCCTTTCATTCTTTCACTTCCCAAATCCATTTTAACCTACCTTTTTATTTGCGATTGGTGAAGCTTCTTTGACTTTGCTGGACGAAATTCTTTCTCCAACCTTCGCTGGGGACTGCTACTTCCGAGTTTGAATTCACCAAATCAGATGCTTCTTCCCTACTTTCATGAATACTCCATTTGTCCTAGTGTATTCGTCCAATTTAACTTTTTCGTGTCAAACTGTACGAACTTTAAATATCAATTACTCTTAATTTGTGTTGCATATCAATACAATAAATTTAAATTTTTAATGTTCTCAACAAGATAAATTTATTAAAATAATATTTATACTTGAATACATTACCATTTTTATTTAATTGATGTCCAAAGTTCGTCTAGTTTGATTCAAAAAAGTCAAATTGAACGAGTACCCTGGGACGGAGGTAGTAATAGAGTAAGGTATGTATCAAGTATCCCTTTTACCTTTGCTTCCTTCTCATCTGCTGATTTCTTTGCTTCCAGTATCCCTTTTATCTTGACTTCTTTCTTATTTGCTGATGATTTCTTTCTATGTCCCTTTTCAAACAGCCCTCTTTATGTTTCTTCATCGCAAGAAAGAAACTAAAAAAACTTTTTGTTGTTTTTTATTTTTTGGAGATTGCTTGTAGTAGGTAATAGTTTTTTTTGTAAATATGTGAACTATGTTTGAATGGAGAATAGAGTTAACAGAGGGTATTAAATATTTTCGGTTTATAAAACCCAATCAAACCCGACCGGTTATAGTCGATTCAATTTCAAAGGAAATACGGTTCGGTTTGGTCGATTTTTGTGAGTGAAGTATTGTTTTTGGGGTTTTTTGGTTTTGAGCTAAAACTGACCGATCTGGTCCGATGCTTACCCTGTTACTCCGGTATTTTATAAGACATAGAGTACAATCACTGTACAAATAAGCTTCTTGATTAGATCCTTTCATCCATGTATCTTGGTGTTCTCTCGTTGCTTTTTGTATGTGTAGGGAGTTTACATTTACATGCTAAAAAAACAATATTCATCTGTTCAATAATTGCACTGTTGAGGGTTTATTTGTCTTGAATCAAATCACCATTTGTGGAGCAAAATATTCCCCCTTTGTTTCTTTTCTAAACCCTAAACCTCAAATGTGGCTTTATAAGAAGAAGGGCCTCTGATGCAGCTGCAACAACTGACCGTATAAAGGTTGTTAGTGATGTTAATTACTTTGACACGAGCACTCATCCTGATCCTCTGAGCCTATATGGATTTGTTTAAAGAAAAAAGATTAAAGTAGGAGTAAAACATTGAAAATATACTAAAAAAAGAGTTTTACATTTTAATTTCATAAATAGAAGTTAAAATGCATTTATACTATCAATCATGACCTTATACATTAGCAAAAACTATTGTGCAATGTCTATGTATAATGTCACATTACTACAATGCAAACTTTTATTAAGGGGATAAGAATATAGAAATCTTATTTTGGTACTTTTTCTAAATTTTACTTTTATTTATGATGATTTTTTTTGTTTAAAATAATTACTACACATATTTTAATCATCTTTCTGAATGTGCAGCTTTATTGAAGTATCAGCTCTCATAGTACATTTATGTCCAATAATATGGTACACATCTATTTCAAAATTATATACTGTATTAAACATAAGGGCTTCTCTTGACCTTAGTTTTATTAGAGTTGTTCATGTTTAAGTCCATACCAAAAAATAACCGAACCAGATCGCCATGTATAAATCAAACTTGGACCAAATAGATTTTGGTTCAATCTTAGGTCTTGCTTATTTGAAATTTAGAGTTTCCCTCTAGTCATTTCCATTCTTTCTTGACCTAAAAGAGAGACAATACCCTTTTATTACTCCTTATTTGGAGTTACCGCCCTTTGCCCTTTGCAACCTCTCAAACTTTTTACGGTTCTTTTAAAACAAAACCACGACCTCTCCGTCAGTGGTGGTCAGATCTTCTTCGTCTGCCTGCTTTGGGTCTCCTTTACGGTTCTTCATCGACAACCTCTGCGTCTTCGAGCCTCCGTCATTTTCTTCATCTGCGCCTTGAATAACCTGCGTCTTCTTCACTTGCGTCTTCATCCTCATAGCCCACGCCTTCAAAGCCAATGAGCAGTGACTACAGGTGCATCGACGCCGGCCAAAGCAGAGTAGAAGTAGTTTATTTGGTAATTTCTGTCATTCGAGGATGCGTAATCCCTCTCATCTGATTTTATTTCCACTTTGACATCTTTAAAAATTGATTTCACTTTTATTTTATTTTTATCCATATCTCAGTTTTTTTTATTGTAATTGTTCAATTTTATAGTCAGTTATTCATATGTATGTGTATATCTGTATTGCTATATATATATATATATATATATATATATATATATATATATATATACTCTGTCCACAAATAAACTTTTCGTTCACTATTCACAAGGTCAAACTTTATTCACTTTGTTGGCCTATTTTCTCACCCATTTGATAAAATAATATAGTCATATCAGCTCTAGTTTTGTAGATCATTTGATATTTTTTTTAATATGTAATTTTTATTTTTAAATTTTACACCATTTTTCATATAAAAAGATTTGAAAATAACTTCAGTCAAGCATCGTAATGCGCAATGGGAAGTTTATTTGTGGACGGAGGGAGTATATATAGACACACACACACACCCTGAATTTAATTGGTTCAAGTTTTTTTATCCTTTCACTTTCACAAACAAAACATCATTTTGATATTGACAACGAAAAAAGAATGCACTTATACGCAAGGATGGACAGAAGCAGTGGGAATGAAATCAATGATTTAGGGAGTATAAAAAAAGTTTTAAGGGGTTTCTTTGTATAGGTGTTAATGCAATTGTGGTTGGATTATGAATCCCTTTCGGGTATGTGCTTGGACTCTGAAAGTCCAATGGATTACATCTTTTTCACGAGAAATGCAATCTGAAATCAGTTTTTTTGCCTGGATTCGGTCCTTTCGGTTTAGACTGGTTCAGTCCATACAATTTTGGTTCAATCCGGTTTGGTCCGGTTCAAGACTGAATACATTTAGGTCCGGTCTTCGGTCTTGATTTTAGTGTACTTCGGTCTGGTTTTAGACCGATGAACACCCCTAAATTTTACTGCTGTGTTAACAGCATAGGGATCTGCTACAATTATGCATTACATGGTTCTCTTATCACTTAAAATACAAGGATTAAATTATTGTGTTCAACTGTTCATAGAATCATAGCCATCCAGTTAAATATGATTATTTGGTAAATCGTGTAATATGAACTAATTTTGAACTTCTTTAAGTGCAAGGCAAATAAAATGACCAAAGGATTTGTATTATACAATGGAATATCATAAAAACTTCCTTTCTAATTGTTATTATTATTGGCGTATCTTAAAATATCATAAACATGAATATGGGTTCAACGGTGCAAACAATACAAAAAATCACAAGGGATATGAAATAAAAGGGAAAAAGCCTATTCTGAAGTTTTTAAATTTTTTATTATTATGAGTACCTAGAATGAAACAGCATCAGGTAGGAGAAAGATGCAACCCTCACAACAACCAGTACATGAAACTTGTACTTGTATCTGTTCTAATAGGTTTTCTTTATTTGTGTCTTCCTACATTTGATTTTTGTTTTTGTTTCCCTTTTAATTGTTTGGAATTGAATCAAATGAAAAACAATTGCCAAATTAAAATTTAAGCGATGGGACAAGAGCTCTACAATTCACCAAATTCACCGATGATCTACAAAAAAATAGTACGGACACTTGAATTGAATACGTTGGTGGATTCCATTAACTGTGATGATTTAAATAAATTGCATGCTTCTGTTTAGTCACTATAGTAACCTGCCCTATTTATAAAAATAAATTAGGAAAACTTCCAAGGCAGTTTCTAAGAAAATCTTTTTGACGTATATAGTTATATGTAGGTCACTACTCCTTTTGTCAAGCAAATCGTTATATAGTTATATGTAGGTCACTACTCCTTGTCAAGCATAGCGTACGCTTCTGTTTGGTGAATTTATAACCTCTTTCAACTTAAATAAATTGTATAGTTGTCCTAAATGAGTGTATAACCCCCTTTCTCCTTAATAAATTTCTTGAAGATTGGGCACCCACACACAGAGTGTGTACCTTGCTAATTTAAATAAATAAAGGGGTTTGAGTGATCTGAACTAGACCTGTGAACCCCTTTACCTATAATCAGGTTAGCGATAGCTACACCACCAATCACATCTATCCCTACAAATGGCCTAGAAGAATTCTTTTTTCTTGCAGGAGGCAAAACAGCAGAGGCTAAGAAAATGGCTTCCATAACACTGAAGAGAAACTACAAGTATGTCAAGTCCCTCCAGCAGTTCTACTCCGGTGGTCCCTATGCAGTATCATCAGATGGGTCTTTCCTCGTTTGTGCTTGCGATGAAACCATTAAAATCGTGGACGCTTCGAATGCGTTGATAAAGTCTACAATTGATGGTGACTCTGAGCAGATCACAGCTCTGGCTCTTAGCCCTAACAACACCTTGCTCTTCTCTGCCGGTCACAGCCGCCTAATTAGAGTCTGGGACCTCTCTACACTAAAATGCCTTCGTTCCTGGAAGGTAAGCATTCTGCTCCATTGTTTTGCATTTATTCTTAAATTTTAGCGGGTTGTTGATCTGGCATTGTGTACAGGCACACGATGGACCTGTGATGGGATTAGCTTGTGATGCTTCTGGTGGCCTGCTGGCAACTGCGGGTGCGGATAGAAAAGTGCAAGTGTGGGATGTTGATGGGGGCTTCTGCACCCACTATTTTAAAGGTCACAAAGGAGTTGTCACTAGCATTATGTTTCATCCTGACCCAAAGCGTCTAATTGTGAGTTCTAGCTTCTGATTTTTTGATAGGTATATGGATCAAGGCATTTACTTTTTTTTCTTTCGAAAGACTTTTTCCGTCCCTATTTAATCTTCCCATTTGCTTTTTCATATGAATGTGAAGTTTAAGAAGTGTGAAATTCTATAGTTAAAAATTGTGTAGAGTAGTGAGAATGGATATGAACCAAACAAATATCCAAAAAAAGAGGGTGGGAACAAGGGTGGACAAGGTTCCAGTTCGGATCCAAGACCGGTCTGAACTACTAAGGAAATCTTTGGTTAGGGTTTTCACTTTTAGGTTGATTCACAATATCTAAAAAAAATACTACGTAATATTGAGTAAAATATGTAACATTTTTCCAAAAAGAAGAATCAGAAACCTTCTGGAACCACCCATAACCCCTCTACCAGTGCCAGTCATGGTTCCACCCTATCAGTAATGACAACAAACCGGTACGTGTCCAACCCTAGTTGGGAAGATAAAAAAGGGAATGAGATAATATAGGAAATTGTATTATTTTTTGTCATATTTTCCTTTTATTTCTAGGGTATGTTTAGATCCGAGGACATATATGTTTAGATCGGAGAACATATGTGGGAAAAGAGAAAATTCATGGAAAGCTCTTTCTTGTGGTTGATTTGACCATGGGAAAAAATATATTCCCTCTGTTGGTATTTATCTAGTTTGACTGTTTTGAGTCAAACTAGATGAACGTTAATCATAAATTACTCAAAATTTGGAAATAAAATTTTTAAAGTTCTTTACAAGATAAATTTAATGAAATAATTTTTATACTAATATACATTACAATTTTAATTTAATTGAAGTTCAAAGATCATCTATTTTCGTTCAAAAAGTCAAACGAGACAAGTACACCGGGACGAAAGTAATAATTAATAGTACTTCACATATGTTTAAATTTCTTAGTATTTATATAATAAAAACACATAAATTAAATGAGTTTAAAATTTAAACAAATATTAAAAACATTATTGAGGTCTGAATAGATACTTTGTTTTTGAAAACATTTTTTTCCTTTCAAATTTATTTTATTCTACCTCTCTATTTTCTTTCCACAGCTCCTTATGAGTTCAGAATGGATCCCAGAACTTCCCATTTTCCATATAAGTGACCTCAGATACGTTGAGGGTTGTCTTCAGGTTTAACTTCGAGCTTTATGCTTTTCTTACTAGTTTATTGCTTGTCTGTTCCCTGTAGCTTTTCACAGGGAGTGATGATTCTACAGCTCGAGTGTGGGATCTAACAAACAAGAAGTGTTTGGCAACGCTAGAAAAACATCAATCAACAATCACATCATTTGCAGTATCTTTAGATGGATGGACCTTAATTAGTGCAGGGAGGGACAAGGCAAGTTTATGCTTTTATTCATTATTCCACTATATTTCTTGTATCAATCAATAAGACTATATTCCTTTCACTGCATTTTAGCCTCAAAGGAACTTTCTTTAGGAATGCAAAAGTATCTTTTTTGGATTGATGTATAATGGAATGTGTAGTTTGCAATATGCATGTGCTTTATCTTCAATTTTCCTCTCCTTATCTGTGTGTAAATATCATCTGCTTGCAAATCAACAAGTTTGATAAATAATTCTCCCTCCGTCTCTGAATGATCTTTCGGGTTGGACTTGGCACGGTGTTTAATAAAATAGAATGTGGTTGGTTGTGGTTTGTCTAGAGGAAAGAGAATCAATATGAACTACATTTTTGTTTCCTTAAAAAGAAAGAGGAAGAAAACTTTGGGACAATCCAAATAGGAAAGAAGGAAGATAACTATGGGATGGAGGGATTACATAGTAGGCAGTGGTGGATCGTGCATGTTAGTGTACACAACCCCAAGACCCTACTTTCGAGTAGGGGTAAGGTTAGTGTACACAACCCGAAGACCCTACTCTCGTGGGATTTGACTCATGCAATGAAGAGTGACAATTTCAAGAGAAAAAACTTTTGAATTTCAACCAATTACCAATTTCCAAACAAATAGCTGCTATTTCAATTGAAAAATAAATACTCATTTCATCCCATAATAATGCTCCACTTTATTATTCATAGGGTCAAACTATATTCACTTTCTACATTTATTATCATCTATCATTAGATAAAATACAATAGTCTTGTCACCACTTGTTTTGTAGAACTTTTGAAGTAGTTTTTAAATTTAAGTTTTATTTATTAATTTTACACCAATCTTTATATAAATTGAATTGAAAATAACTTTAATCAAACATTGTAATCTGACACCGAAACATTATTATGGGACCGAGAGTATTTTGTTAAAAAATTGAACACCTTACACTTTCAACCAATCAAAACATATTTCACCAATTTAATTATTCAATTGTAAATTTGTTGTTATAACATTTGCAATTTCTACAAAAAATTTCATTTTTTCAATACATTAATATTTTTTTTAATAAAAGAAAGTTATAAAAATTTTAAATAATAAACTAATTGTCAGAGGCGCTATTAGATCAATCCAATTATGTCAAATTTTTTTGAAAGTACTTCCTTCGCACCACTATTTTTGGGAAATAGAACAGTAGCATAGATATTAAGAAAAGTAAGATTGTGTGATTGATAGTGAATAGTGATGTTAAAAAGTAAGATAATGTAGGAATGTGTGTGGACCACACAAATATGACCAAATATATTATGCCATAAAAATAGCAGCACAGACAAAAAAGCTAAAAAGAGACACAAACAATGAGATGGAGAGAGTATATATTAAGTGATTATTTTTATTTTAAAAAACTAAATTTTCAAATGTATTTGCAAGATTCACCACTGAGACATATTTTTAATTAAATATGGGTTTAAGATTAAAAACATGGGTGGGGGCACTATATTTTCTTCACTGGGGGCACACTACCTTATTGGTTCATAGGATTTAATATCTTAGAGTTAGAAATAATTTATTTTTATGCTCACTGGGGGCTTTTTCCTCAATAGATAACATGTACATCTGCCAGTGGTAGGAGGGCTTTAGGACGAGCATTCACTCGGTTGATGTATCTGAACTAGTACATATGCAATCTTGCACTCATTTTTTTTCTTTCTTAGGCTGTAGTATACATTATTATGAAGCAAATGACTTTTAATAACGTATTCAGTTTGGCGGTGCACCCTACTGTTAATGGAACAAATTATATTATTTTTCCTAAATTTTTGGGCTTTATTTATTCAGTCTTCAGTCACTTAATTTTGGGTGTATATTATTAGTGCCGGTGCACTTGTTGATTCTCATACAGAGTATAAAATTCAGTCTGTACTGAATTATTTGGACTAGCACATGCACAATATAGCATGCCGTATCCTTTTTGCTTAGGCTCTGGGATTCATTATTTCCCACAAAGTAAATGAGATTTACCATATTTAATTTAGTCTACTAATGCGTCTATGTTATAGGAACTTAGGGTCTCTTGGTTTCCAATAAAATGTTGTCTTGAAAATGTTACATGGATTTTCTGTGTTTGTCACTTGAAAATATTTTCCTTTGTTTGGCAATACAGTTTATTTTCTGCTATTCTTTGAAGTTACAAAATGAGGAAGCCATTTTCTTGAAGCAGCTTGAAATTTTTTTGTGAACTCTTGTACTATGTTACTCCCTTCGTCTCATAAACCTAGGGGTGTAAACGGATATTAATCGGATCGCATGTGTCATTAGCAAATCGGTATCCGTTTATTTTTGTCGGATATCAAATTCGGATACGGATCTTGACGGATACTGAAAATCAAAACCGTATCCGCATCCGTCGGATATCGGATATATCCGTATCCCTTTCCAATTTTTAAAATCATATTAAACAATACTTTAATTTTAAATTAGATTAAAGTCAAACTATTATTAAATCAACTATAATTTGGTATGGGATAATTATTTTCTTTGTTTTCATTATTTATGATATTCTACGATAACTTCATATGATAAAAAGATATACACAGCACACATATACACATTTTTATATGTCTGTATATATTTTTATGTGTCTACACATTTATTTTGTATATAAAAATGTCTTATATTTTGAAATATCAATAGAGAAACAAATTATAAACATAAAAAATTAGGAAAAACTATATATAACGGATCGGATATTCGGATAAACGGTTATTTAAACGAATGCATATTCGGATCGGATTTTAAACGGATCGGATATACAATTACCAAATCCATATCCGTTTAGTAATCGCATATCCTTAATCTGATACAGATAATATCCGTTTAAAACGGATGCAGATATTTCCTCTTTAAACGGATACGGATGCGGACGGTAATCAGATTTTCGACTATCCGTTGACAGCCCTACATAAACCTTTCCACTTTGGATAAAAGTGGTATTTAAGGAATGTGTAGTTTTGGTGTTTCTTTCCAACTTAACATGTGATGGATAGATTAATCGTGAATGGATATGATGTGATAGGTACGTTAATAATTAGTAGGGATAAAAGGGAGATTTTAATTGAAAGTGGAATGGTTTTTTGGGACGGAGGGAGTATAAATCATTATACACAGGATTACTCTTATTTCAGGAAACAAACATAACCTTTGTTCCATTACTGTTTTCAATGGATAATTTTTTTTTCTGAAAAGCATATTGTTTCTGTCTAAAATCTTTAGCCTTATTTTTCTTTCCCGTGCTTCTTCCTCTTGGATGTATATTCCCATATAAGTGCTGTGTTGCTGATGCACACATGTATTTCAGGTTGTGAATTTGTGGAATTTGCATGACTTCAGGTGCCTGACTACAATCCCAACATCTGAGGCCCTGGAAGCTGTATGCATAATCAGACCTGACTCTCCTTTCAATGTATGCTTTGCTTCTTCTACAGATCAACACGCAAAGAAGAGAAGTGACATACCATCACTTCATTTTATCACCGTTGGTGAAAGAGGAGTGGTGAGGATATGGAATTCCAACAGGTATCTGACATTGGTTGAAACTTTACATTACTGTGTGTGTGTATGTTTATACATGTATATATGTGTGTGTGTGTGTATCAACAATGTACTCCATCCGTTCTTCTTCACAAACTTCCCACTAAATAAGATTTTAAAAAGTAATTCTATTTCAACAGAGTACTCTGTCCGTCCCAAAAACAGGTTTTACACTACTTTTACATTATCAAATTACATCTTCTATAATCACATTTTTATTGATCCTTTGAGAAAATAAAATAGCCATGTCACCTCTTTTCTTATACTTTCATATCACATCTGATGTAGTTGATAAATATGTAATTTTTATTTTTTAATTTTACCCCATTTTCATATAAATTAAATTGAAAATAACTTCAATCAAACATCTTAAACTGAGACTGGAACCTTTTAATGGGACGGATGGAGTATAAAATATTGATCAGTATCACCTGAATTTTTGAGTCAAATATGACTAATTTTTGACTTAAATGCCTCAAAATTTAGGATCCACTTATCTTTTTTTTTGCGCTGTTCTCTTACTCAATGAAGCTGGGACTGACTCTTGAATTTAATTCCAACAGAGCTCTTTGCATTTTTGAGCAAAAATGCTCAGATGTTACTGTCAGTTCTGAAAAAGAAGAATCCCGTAGAGGATTCATTTCAGCACTCATTTTGCCAACTAGTCAAGAGTTACTTTGTGTCACGGCTGATCAGCAGTTCCTTATATATTCTCCTCAAGAATCTGAAGGTGTTTTAAGATTAGTTCTGACAAAAAGGCTTGTTGGGTACAATGAAGAGATTGCAGATATGAAATTCTTAGGGGAGGATGAACAGTTCCTTGCTGTTGCCACAAGTGTTGAACAGGTGATATTTTGTAATTTGCTTCTTAATAAAAACATGTATTATGTGTATGTTTGTGATGCATAGTTCTTGCTTTCAATTAAGGGATCTTTGATAAATGTGTGGAGATTTCATTTGCACAAGTATGTTTGGAACAGGCATTTATCTATGATTACAATGTAGTAAGTACCATTTTTCGTAAGATTCTCCAAAGCCTAGTGATCTACTGAAAAAGTATTCTCTATAGTTCAGAAAAGGTATAGCCGTGTAATGCATTCATCTGTGATGTTTTTATGCATAATGTTTAGGGATTTGCATCTAACGTCATCATTTACATCGATCTGAGTTTATGATCTTACTGCAAATGTTTACAAATCTTAATGTTATGACAATGAATGATACAAGTATACTGTGGACTTAATTTTTTTGGTATTAACTTTTTTGGATTTATCTCTGTGCACAGGTTCGAGTGTATGATCTGACTTCAATGTCATGCACCTATGTGTTAACTGGTCACACTGAAATTGTATTGTGCCTAGATACTTGCACATCAACTTCGGGAAGGACACTAGTTGTTACAGGGAGCAAGGACAACAGTGTGAGTTATGCATGCCACTGCTTCTTTTGAGGCATCTCCTTTTCGAAACTACCAGAAACTACCCAACTGTTTTGTTTAATTAATTAAAATTTAAATATGAAAGACACACTAACTGACTCCATAGTAACTGACCTAAACATCGACTCATTAACCATTCAGTTATATGTGAGCAAAACCGATTTAATCGAACAATTCCTCACTGCCAAGAGAACTTACAATTCGGTTCCATGCAAAGTCATTCTCCAATTAGTGTGTTTTGAATTATGACTATTGTAAACAAACTAGGCCTTTTCAATTATGTGTGCATTCATGCAATATGTACACATTGTATTATTTTTTTCAACTCCTATAAGCCTTATCTGTTGTCATACTAGGTTAGGTTGTGGGATCCCCTGACCACACATTGCATTGGAATCGGTGTTGGCCATATGGGAGCTGTTGGTGCCATAGCTTTTTCAAAGAAACATATGAACTTTTTTGTGAGTGGTAGCAGGTACGTGTTGCACCAAAAATTACCATTCCATGATTGCTCTTTTGTAGATCTATTTAATCACACATCTGATGCAAGTTTGACAGCATTAATCTTTTAAATTCCATAAGCACAGATTTTCTTTGCTTACTTTTTTCGGAGAAGCTAATGACTGATATATCAAAATTATATTGCCTAGGCTTATCATCAAATACCCATCCAGTTATTTCATCTTGTGTCTGTTATGTGTGCTGTGAATCATCACATGCTTAATTGCGAAGTGAAGTGAATGGAGTGGATGCGTACAAGTTTGTGGCTTAGCTGGGATTTTGTTGAGATCCCCCAAGGGTTTCATTTTGTTTTCGTTATTTTTGGACCAAAATGCTGTCTCTCCCACTCATATTTTGTTCGTGTTCATCATCGTGTACCTAGGACTTTCAAAAATTTCAACTTTTTGATCATTTTACACTAACTCTTTACCACACGGATATCCTGAATCCAGACACAATCAATATACTGTTTGAAACTGGAATCTTTACAACAACAAAAAACCCTGGATAATTCCAACTCTGTTGGTGTGCGGGGGTTAAGATATATGCAACCTTGCATCTGTTGCATTGGGCTCTTGATCTTGATGCATTCACTGGCACTGCCCAAAACATCATATGTGATTACTCCCACTTGGCATCAGGCCTGTCATAAAAGCTTGAAGGTAGAAAACCTATGTTAGTCAGCAAATGATTTTCCTGATCCCCAATGATAAAAATGCTTGATTTGGCAAAATAATTAGAAGCCCCTCAAATTATAGCCATAAGCCATAAGATCATATTTTGTTATCTAGTGCTGCAGATAGGGCACCATTCATACATATTTTCTTTCTTCCAATAAATGAGCCCACAATGTTTGTCAAAATAGCTCACAGCAGTGGCTAGCAAACTTTCTTTACCCCCCAGATCCATGATACTCCTATTGAAGCATCAACTTGCACTCTTTCTCCAACTTTCTGTGTTATACTCATAAGCTTTTTTCTTCTCTACTTTCAAGGGATTGCATTTTCCAATGCCCGTTCTTTAACTCCTTGTAAGTTGTAATTGTACGGTGCATTTGGTATCATCGCCAATTTTTAGTTTTTGGTTTTATGACTTCCAAAGATATATGATATATGTTGTATAATGAAGAAGTCATACTTGTACTTATTACATTAACTTTGAAAACTGCTAACAAGAAACTGAAAATTACATACTTGTACTTATTACATTAACTATGAAAGTTTTTAGTTTTCAAAACATAAAATGATACCAAACAAGGCCTTAATGTTTCTGTTTCATGGTTTAAGATTGCACCAGTGACATCATAGATAACAACAATAATTCATTTATTTGCTTTTTTATTAGCATACCATAATCTACTTACCCAGGTGTGTGTGTGTTTGTGTGTGTACTTCTCCTTATAGTGACCGCACTTTGAAAGTATGGAGTCTTGATGGTCTCCTGGAAAACAATGAAGTTTTTAATTTGAAGGCAAAAGCAGTTGTTGCAGCGCATGATAAGGATATTAACTCTTTGGCAGTTGCACCAAATGACAGTCTTGTTTGCAGTGGTTCCCAGGTATGCAGCAACTTGTCTGCATTTAGAACTCAAATATTACAATTGCATACTAATTAGCATCATATTGTGTTCTTAATTTTCTTTCAATTACAAGGACCGCACTGCTTGTATTTGGAGACTTCCCGAGCTAGTGTGTGTTGTCACACTCCGAGGGCATAAAAGAGGGATTTGGTCTGTGGAATTTTCTCCAGTTGATCAATGTGTGATTACGGCATCTGGAGATAAAACCATAAAGATATGGGCTATATCCGATGGTTCGTGTCTGAAAACATTTGAAGGGCACACATCAAGTGTCATTCGAGCATCATTTATTACACGTGGCACTCAGTTTGTTTCTTGCGGTAAATTTTAATCCTGACTATTTTTTCTAAGTGATTTTGTGATCAACTGTTGCTAAAGCGGAGCCATCTTTTTTAGGTGCCGATGGTTTGGTGAAGCTTTGGACAGTAAAGACCAATGAGTGTATTGCCACATATGACCAACATGAAGACAAGGTGCGAAATTTCATGCACACTAAGGGGGTGTTTGTTTTTTCTGCAGGAAAAGGTCTGCGGTCTGCGGACCACTACTGTAGACATCTGCAGGAGAAGTGGTGGACCGAAGGTCTGCGGTCTGCAAGAAGAAGACTGTTTGTTTTTTAATGTCTGTAGACTGCTATATAAATTAATGGTGGTAGTGTACGGTGGTGGTGTATGGACGATTGTGGTGGTGGTGGAGGGTGGTGGTGGA